TCAGGGATGTATTTTCGCCCACAAAATTGTACTTAATTACAATTGTATTTGAAATACTGCCCATCCCTGTATATATATATATATATATGTATATATATATATATATATATATTGGGGGGGGGGGGGGGCGCTCGCGCCCTCAAGTGGGAGGGGGCGTGCCAGCACCGCACATCCCACTATAAAAGTCAGGCCAAATCTGCCCACCGGCAGTCGCCGCTGGGAGCCCGAAAGGTGATAAACGCTTGTCTTGTTGAACTGTATTCCGGGTGTCGTACCTCCCTACGGGCAGCAGCAAGGCCAAACCGCTGCAATGTATAGACCTTTTCCGCTTACTCTCGCCCCCGACGGCCAAGTAGGCATATCCGGTATGGGCGACGAAAAAATATCAGAACGTTTCAACCTGCAAATAGTAACAAAATAGAGGGGAGGCAAAACATAAATGTTTGGTGGTTACGTTCATGCCCTAAATGCCTTCTATTGGCGTGGCGACGGCAAAACAATGTTTTCGCCCATACTGGAAGTGACGACAATTCAAGATGGCGGCGCCCTTGCGGAAAAGGTCTATAGTATATGTATATATATATATGTGTGTGTGTGTGTAAAAAAGCCGCCGAGGTTCAAACAAACTTGAATAGCTTTACAGATTTGTCTTAAAAGCGCCGCAAATGTTAAGGCCAGTTCAGACACTTGCGTTTGAGTGCGTTTGACTGCGTTGCGGCGAGAACCGAAAGCGAGTCACCGGCGCATCTGTGCTTCGTATGAAGCGTGGAATCCAATTCAAGGAATCATCTCGGCACGCGATACAAGCAGCAGGGATGTCCTGGTTTCTCGCTGCCGCAACGCAGTCAAACGTAGTCAACCGCAACTGTCTGAACCAGGCTTTACACTTACGCGGTTTGCGCAGGTGAGTTATACGGCCAGTGGGACATATGTGCGTGACAAAGCTTTGCGATAGGTCGGCTAATTAATGAAAGTTTGTTAATTAACTTTTTGATTTGCGAAAATAGACATACAATTTCAATTATAAACTTACTGAGCGTGATCGTAAACCATTAAATTAACTATTTTCAGAATGACTTGAAGCTCGTGGGAAACTCGGGAGCGCGCCAAAGTTACTGCAATAATGCAATAAGCGATAGTGGTCTAATCATCCGCGCGGAGAAAAATCTTTAAAAAGGACGGAATAAAAGTCAAAGTTAAGCACAATAAGTTACAAAAATAAATTGTTAAGTGAAAAATAGAATGAAGAATTAAAAATAAAAAAAGAAAGGGGTAATTAACTTTCGTTGATGTTTCGATAGCGGTATTGTCTTCTTCAGGACGGAATATTATATACAGGGTGTTTTTTTTTAAGCTTAACAGATTTGTTTAAAAAAAAGCCGTGAAAGCTACACTTATGCCGCTTGTGGAGGCTAGTTATACGGCCACGCGGACATATTATAGAGGGCTAATCGTAACAATAAGTCGACTAATTACCTAAGTTTTGTTAATTAACTTTTTAATTAATGAAAATAGACATATGGTTCCAATTAGAAACTTGCTCAGCGTCTTCGAAAACCACTAAATCAGTCATTTTCAAAAAGACTTTGAGCGCGTGAGAAGCGTAGTAGTGCAATAAAGTTACCACTCGTGGAGCAGGTACAAAGCTAGAGGTTGCGATAAGGCGGCCCCGCAAAAAAAAAAAAAAAAAAAAAATTGGTCTGCTCTTTATGTTTATACAGTCTTCATCTCCGGAGATGCGCCTCAACGGGTAATCGGTCTCTTAGCTGTAGATGAGAAATTTGGCCAGTGCATCACGCAGTAGTGATCACACGAACGCGTGCCGGTACGAAACGCATCCAGATCGAAACGGGCGAAGGCGGCGGGGATCGAACCCAGGAGGTTCCCAGCGCAAGCTTTCGCTCCACGCTCCGAGCTGAGACGCGTTAGCCCACTCGGCCACTTCCTCCCCGAGGCGGAGGCGCGATTTTTCCGTCTCTTATCTAGCCCCAGCCTTGTACCTGCTCCACGAGTGGTAACTTTAGTACAACACTACGCTTCTCACGCGCAAATCGTCTTTCTGAAAATGACTGATATTTAGTGGTTTTCGATGACGCTGAGCAGGTTTCTAATTGGAACCATATGTCTCTTTTCATTAAATAAAAAGTTAATTGACAAATTTTAACTAATTTGACTAGTGATCGTTATGATTAGCCGCCTATATTATGCCCCCCTGGCCGTATAACTCACCTCCACAAGCGGCATAAGTGTAACTCTCACGGCTTTTTTTAAACAAATTGTACTAGCGTACAATGATTTTCGCTATAGTTATGAAAAAAAGCTGCATTATATATTTGCTCCAATTCTGCTTCTTTGAAAACGATATATTATCAGAAGGCAGAGCCGCCATTGCCGAAGTCTATATGCTAAGTTGCAACCACTGACATGACACGTAAGAACGTTTTGAGGTAACCGCATGTTCGTTTACAGTTCTACCGAACAGCAAGCAAGCTCCCTAAGGCATTATGATAACTTATTACGCAGCTTGATCATTTGCACTTTAGTAAGTCCTTCATAGGATCGTCAAGACCATACACAACATTCGGTTTGATATGCCCTATCAATCTTTTTTTCCATAGTTCACCGAGCTAATGGAATATTTTAAACAAACATTTTATGCGCGCTTAGTTGCATAGTAAATATGCAGCTCTTACCTCTTCTTGTTAATGTACACCTATGAGACACTGTATTCGTCTGCTCTCTCTCTCTATATATATACACCATGTAAATGTTCGTAACAGTGAAATCTAAAACCTGAAAACTCCACGTGCCCTTGTGATTAATGTAGAGTTCTCTGACCCCGCAGCAAAAGCAGCGCAGCTCACCGGAAACTACTGGTTGAAATGGGGGTTTTGTCTATTTGGTCGTTGATTCCATAACAGGCGTCTAAAGGGAACTATTTTCTCTTTTGGACAAAAAGGTTAATCCACGAGGCCAAGTCGCAAACTATAAAATAAACTGAGAGCTCAGAAACGGTAACAGTAAACCATGACCATGGCAAAACGACTGTACGGCAATACCTGCCGGATTTTGAACGGTGGTGCAAAATTAGACATTTGAGCGCTATTGGAACCGACTTTCAGCCGGTACTGGCACTACACCGTCAAGTATCGCCGTGCTGCGTAGGAACGCAGATGATGAGATCTAACCATCGTGTTTCCAACGCCTATTTAATCTAAATTTTCTTCTGGAGCGTGTGAAAGAACGCTTCTGTGGCGCACCAGAAAAATTCCAAACTTCGGCAGGCCTCTGAGCTTTCTTTGGCACTTTTGGCACGTCTTTGGCACTCCTGTGGCTAGCCAGAGAAGAGCCAAACTTCGGCATGCCCCAAATTTCCAAATTAGGATTTACCTCGGCAGTTGTGGCTGAAGTCTGGCACTCACTTTGGCACAACTGTGTCGGACCAGAGAAAAGCCAAACTTCGGCTTATTCGAAATACCCAAATTTGGCGTTGCTTTGGCAGTTATGGCTCCAGTATGGCACTTACTTCAGCATTCTTGTGGCGGACCAGAGAAAAGCCAAACTTTTGCATGTCCGAAATACCCAAATTAGGCGTTGCTTTGGCAGTTATGGCTCCATTATGGCACTTGCTTCGGCACTCCTGTGGCGGGCCAGAGAAAAGCGAAACTTTGCCATGTCCGAAATACTCAAATTAGGCGTTGCTCTGGCAGTGAGGGCTCAAGTATGGCAGTACTTCGGCACTCCTGTGGCGGGCCAGAGAAAAGCCAAACTGTGGCATCTCCGAAATACCCAAATGAGGCGCTGCTCTGGCAGTTATGGCTCAAGTATGGCACTACTTCGGTACACCTGTGGCGGGCCAGAGAAAAGTCAAACTTTGGCATGTCCGAAATGCCAAAATTAGGCGTTGCTCTGGCAGTTGTGGATGAAGTATGGCACTACTTCGGCACCCCTCTGGCGGACCAAAGAGAAGCCAAACTTTGGCATGCCCTAGTATAGCCCAACCTGGGCTATAGTTAGGCAGCGTATTTAGGCACCGATGAACGCCATGGTGCGAAACCTAACTGGGCCAAGGTTGGGCCCTTGCGTTTGCCAGACCTTTGCCCAAGTTGGGCATTTCTCTGGCGTGCTACCTGGGATCATTCATTGCCGCCGACAGGCCGACAGGCAGCAAAATCTTTCATTCCATCACCTTCAAAATGTATGATCTGTTATCTTTGGTAAAAAAAGTCAATAAAAAAAAAACTAACACTAAGAGGTGTTAAACAATTTCGATCATCCGAGAAAACTATCGTTGTTTTGCTTTTGGCTCACCTCGATCCTGGCAGCGCTGTTATGAAACTATCATATTTATTGCCTGCTGTTTTACAGTAGAGATTGAAGTTAAAGGTCTAAAACGTTATAATTTATGGGTGGCAGAGAGTTGCCTGTTTTTTCCACTGATCGGGAACCCTAGTGTTCTCACTTTTCAGTTAATAAGTACGTTTCAGAAAGTTTATCCGACATGACCATAGTTGCTAGACAATTGAGAAGTGGCACTTTATGGAAAGTGTCGAATTTCGAAGTTTAAACGCTCTTTGCTCGTGAACCGCTAATTTTTTATAATCTATAGTATAGACTTGATTTCATGAGTGCAGTGAGAAAAAAAAAACGTGAGTGCCTTTACGATGGCAGTGGATTGACCGGATGAAATGCGTAGATCCGAGTGGGACAGCATGCGTCACATTTTGCGTTTTAATAATCCACGCCGTGGTGGGTAAAGAAGAGGGAGTTCATAAGAAATTTGATTATTGAAGAACATTTTCGAGAAAGCATGGAGGTTCACCATTTGTGTGTGTGGTATAAAGTTACGCACAGGTACCTCACATTTTGTTACTTCCACCGACGATGATGTAAAGGAGGCAGAAAAGTTCAGTCCTTTTAAAGTAAGGTATTTTATTTAACAGAACGTATTTACCCATATAAGAAAAACACATTGAAAAGTGAAATTCATAGTAGGGGTTTGAAATGAAACGTAACTTGAAAGGGATCCTGGCTCGTGCCCACCGCAATATTGATTAATATGATAAACTGAAACACCGAACAATGGCACCGGGTAGCACAGTGTGTTTCAATTCCTAAATCGAGCTTATATCGCTTCACACCTCTCGGGTTAGCTCCCAGGCGCAAGGGTCTGGACAAACTTTAGCTAGTAGTTTCTTGGCGTTCTTGCATTTGTAGTCCACATCATATATCTTGGAGACCTCTTCATTGTTGTTGCTGGTGAGGACTGAAAAATAATTGATTCGCAAAATAATTTTTATTTCATGCCTCGGCACAATAAAACAACAATATTGATAATATTATTTCCGTTATCTGGTCAAATAATATGGCAAGCTAGTTTTACGTCAAACAAAGAATAAAAATCTAATTTTTGGGAGGTATACTGCATGCTTTAATGTTCATGTAACAGACGAAACACTTTTTTTGTTAGAGCTTATATAAAAGTCTAGGTTTTCCTACATGCTCATATCGAAATACTTACAATCGTCTGGAAAACATTAAAGTGAGCTGTTCACCAAAGAGTGTTACCCTGTTTTTCAGCTATGATTTTTATAAAGTTACATTGGGATTGAAACATTCTTGTCGCTGCATACTATGCAGTAGTGCACAATATTATTCATCCTAGAAGTTTATAGTGTGTCCCGCGCTTTTAGTACATCTTGAGTCTGATAGCGCTGAGCACTAGTTGCTTACATTTCCAATATTCGCTTTCTAAAAAATGAAAAAAGTTTATTGTCGCAGAATGTATGACAGCACTTATCAGCAGTTTGCAAAAATATTCTATACTTGTGTACACTGGAATCGGTTAAATCTTTTATTTAAGAGCATGGTAAAAAATATCGTCGTGCAAAGCAACTATGCTGAACATGTTCGAGTCGACTTATGGTATCTTTGAAGCACGTTTTGCCACTTGCATGAAAATAATAAAATTATTTGAATCACTAACCCTTCAAACTGATTGCATCTTAAATGGGCCATGAATTTTTTTTTACTTTTTCCTCTTTAGTTTTAATTTAAAAAAAGCGTAATAAAACGATCACGTGATCGTGACGTATTTGGGCACCGGTGCGAGCACTTCAAGCTTCCACCATGCTTTTTAAGCACACCAAGGAACTTGTCATTTGAAAGTAATTATAAGGGTCGTCATGGCACTCATTGGCCACCAAAGTGAGTCCGAATATTCTGTTATGAATCAATTGTTGACGAGCGCATACGTTCGAGTGACGCCGTGCTCGCGACCATCATGTGAGCTGGGGTCGGCTGAAGTGATTTGGGTACCGCGAATCTATCAGAATAAAAATTTCGGAGAGCTCTCGAAGGAAAAGAGGTACGTAAGTGTTCGCAAAATTTCAAAACTTTTGTACCTAAAAGAAGGCTTTCAGTTTTCTACCCTCTTACTTTTGGCTCACTAACCATGTTCCAATAGTAAAATTCCAATACAAAATCTTTTAGCACAAAAGTCATTTCGCGGTACCTTTAAGATATCCGACACGGGTATATTCTTTACACGGTGACGTACGATCATCAAAAGCATGGGCTGTAGACAACTAATTAAAAAAGCGAGCATGTTCCTAATGTTCAATTTTAACCACGAAAGAATGAGCAAATAGTACGGAGCACAGACACGATATCTTTCGTACATTCTTAAGACGACATCTTACTGTGGATACAATATTGACGGCCTGCCATCTTGTCAGTAGTGAGCGTGTCTGTTCAATTCAGTACAATGTTTACGACGGGCAAAAGTTGAGCTAGTTGGTGATACATATTTGGGCGAAACCATATGAACATTACAATTACTACCATTCATACAAATGAAAGGAGAAAATAAAATGCACATTCAACCGTTGAACTACTAACTCTTTAATTAGACTTCTTCCTTTTCGACTAGCTTTGTTTGTTCTATTTTTCTTCATTTGTTTCTGCATTCTGCATTTCATGAGATTCTTCTTCATCGACTAGCTTATACTTTCTCCTCGATTACAGATTACAGATGTTAATAAACTCCTTGTTTGTAACTCGTCAATTTTAATTGCTTTGAGCGGCACGCAGAAACTCACAACACTGCTTCGTTTTTGTTAATTACATTTGTTGAATTTTCATTGTTTGGAGTAAGGAATCTAGCCGCCATGGCTTCAGTGCAAGATTATTTTTCCTATTAAAATCTTTTGTGATCCTATCAGAAACAAAAGAAAAAGCTTTGAACATGCGTTGAACTTACCGATCTTCAAATAGAGAGCCTTGCCAACGAACGGCTCTACAACAGTCAAATCTTCGTGAACATCTGTAATCGAATCATTTACAAGGAATTAACATGCCGCATATAGCAGACGCCTGGGCATTTGCAAAGAATAGTAAATTACAGGCTATGCGTCTAGTTACGTTTGAAAATTTTTTATTTACTTACTTGAAGTTGTAAGTTTACCGACACCACCAGCGGCGTCATAATGTGTCAAGAGAGATCCTCTGAAAAAGGTTTTAATTACATGGTTAATAAGACACTTCAAAGATATTAAGGCAGAAAAAATAAAAAAATTTATGGACTGTAAATATAACCGAACATGAACAAAAATACTTCCAATTTTTCTATTGCAAACGTGAACACGACAAAGAAATCTATTAAAAGCGAGCTTTTTATTGTTAAAAATGTGATAACAATAATAATTGCAATGCTTTTATAACTATATTTGTTGCAGGAGTTTATGCAAAATTTTGTCAGCTAGTGAAGTGCAGAAAAGAAAATCAAACTTTCTATTTTACATTTCCATGGAAACAGGACTTAAGGTAGCATTGCTATGCATTATTTCCATCGACGTCCCTCCAGCTTCCATTATGGGGTTTTAAGCGCGTACATGCGGCAGCATACATTTCACACAAGCGAATTTGTTATGCTTGGCAAGTTAATGTAAAATCGCAAAGAATCGACAATACAATCGAACAAACGGACATACTGAAAGCTGACTTACAACCTTCAAGCTTAATAAAACCACGAAAATACCGCGAATCACAAGAAATACTGCAAGGTTTTATATAAAACACATGCTTCAAATAATAGTGCGTTTTAGTATTGCGTATACGAGCAATCCCACGCCCTGCACGTTTGCATTAGCGTTGCGAGCGTCATGAAGCAAGAGAAACACTCAAACAAGACGGACGAAAACAGCATTCGTCCTGTTTGCGTGTTTCTCCTGCTTCTTTCGTGTTTTTTGCGCTGTTTCTTCATTAGGATCAACGAATAACAACTAGGACAACTCATGACGTTAATTTAAAAATTTGAACAAAGAGAAATAGTTATACTTACTTTGCGATGCATTACTCTGGTACACTTCTTGTTTGGCCACAATGTGTGACTTACAATGACGTATTTTTTTTATTTCAGTTTAATATCTTAAAATACGATTTTATTTTGTGGGGAATTAATGACTGTTTTTTTTTAAGTAAAAGCTCGCGTAGTCCTTTTTATTTGTGTTCACTTCTTCGTACTTAAGTAAACGAAACATTTGCTTGAGTAAACAGATCAAAAAGGAACCCCGATCATCAGTTAAAAGTGCTTTCCCATAATCTAGTGACGAGGCTAATATACGTACCGAGTATAGCAGTTAGGCGTCCCCGCCACCGCGGACCACGTCGCGCCAATGGCGTTTGTGGTCCTTGAATCGGTCCCGTCCCAGAGAATGGTGTAGTTGATGGAGCCCGGTGGATCGATGCTGTTGCCGCTGTGATAGCACTGGTATGTCAGGATGGGCCTTGTTTCCATATCCTGTATAGCCAGTACGATATCACTTTAAAACTAACTTTCCGTGCACCGTGCGTGCTCACCATGGCTTCTAAGCATGTCTCTAGGACGGTAAACAAAAACTCAGAGAATATTTATTTAGATCTTCATTAAATTTCACGTCAGCGAATATCGGAGAACCGTTCTATGTTTTCTTCGTTTCAATATAAATCTCGTCCACAAAATACACGAATGTGTTCCTGAGAAATAATATTTAGCACCCTGGTTTCACCCAACTCGCGCTATCCCACTCCGCTAACTCTCCATCAGCTGTGCACCATCTGAAAACACATCAGCGCTCACATCCTTTGCCGTCAACTAACTGTACCCCATCAAATTGTCTCGCTGTGAACAGAAACACGGACAGAAACATAACAAAAAAACGCTACACGTAGCATCAGAAAAAAATTATAATAACATTTTCAAAGAATGACAATAATATTTGCGCCGTGCACAGATATGCATATATACACGATGTCCGTAATAACCAGCCTCGATGTAAAATGGGCCGTAAAATCGTTGCCTGCAAGTAGCAATCTAAACTTTTCGACAAAGGTGTATTTCACAGGTCAGTTCTTTCTTGCAAAATTACAAAACGTATCTCCCTTTCTTTAAAAAGTAGGGCCAAAGAACTTGCCAGAGTCAACGGCGGGCGGCGACGCGGACGACCGTTTCGAGCGCCGAGGCGCGTTTGACGCACGTATTGATAGATGGCGCTATCGTTGTTCCGGCTTGCTTTTCGAAAAAATATCGAAAGTGCCCGCGTCGGCCGTGGCCTAGAAATCTTAACATAATGTTTTTGTAATGCACCTTTGGTTTAAAAATAAGTGCGGACATTGAAAGAAAATTTCAAAGAAACAAAAATAAAATAAAACGATGTTGCTTAACGACGGAGTCGACAGCTCTCTTGCTGCCAGCGGATTTCAACCGCGTGTCGTCTGTTTGATCGAACATCAAAGTTGTGATCACCAGATACATAGGATTAGTGATACATACGTCGTAAAATTGTTTTGTTGGGTTACTCGGAGTCTTTGCTTCAGTTTGATAGATCAGGCACGATGAACAAAAGAACACCAGCAGAAGTGCTGCCTTCGTTTCCATGGTTGAAACAGTCCTACAAAATCAATACTTTCAATGTTACAATTGCAAAGATTTTGTGACAGTGGTTGTATGTTTAAAACACTTTTAATATCTCAAAAGCATATAAACATTCAGTGCACTAGCTATTGGTTTATTTTTATAGAAGGGAAAGTTCACAAAACTTTGGTTACAACATGGAAAATTTGACAATTCGACAATTCAAAGCAAGTGAAACATTTATTAAAGTGATAACACGCCAGCTTCTTCCTCTTTGCTGCATGCAGAGAAAGCTTAAACACAGGAGGGTACAAAAACGTGTTCCTTCTCCCGATCTTAGATCATAAAAACCTATTCAGTCAGACTACGCTTAGAAACTTAGAAATAATTCGGCTTGTTTAATGTATTGGAAGACCGCATTTTCTGGTCTATATGTGTTCAAAGGAGCAGTATCACATCAAACATCTTGTTAAAAAGTCTCGACAAGTAATTTTAAAACGAATAAACGATTAGCAAAGAGCACCTGGTGGATGTCGCTAACGCCTCGCTTGTTATGCCCGTCTAACCACCTTGACAGCTAGTGACGGTGAGTGTCTCGCCTCCGGCCAAGACGAGAGAAGAGGGGAAGGAGGAACTCCCCTCTTCCCGAGAATGCCTTTTGTGTGTCGCAGAAGTCGCTATTGTCCCCCTACAAGATTATAGAAGATTAACCCGTCACTCAAAATTCGCACAAAAGCAGCCGCTTCGGTGGCTGGAACGACTAGGCCATCCTCTCGACGTCAGCGTCGCCGTAGCTTTGCTCGTCCCGAAACGACCTACGTCACGATTGCGTTGGATGTCACGTGATCTCCGCTGGGCCTTCTCCGAGCGCTTTCCAGAGTGGGTCGTTTATAACGAAAAATAGAGCCACCAGGCTCAAAATACAAACGTGCGATTGTCATTTACGTATATTGTGGATCATATTCAACCTATTTTTGAACACCACGGGTATATTTCAAATTTCGTTGAAGTATCCGTTTAAAGTGAGTGCCAATAATCACACCGGTGTTTGTATATTAAAACGAGCGAAGACGATCCCCCATGGGTGGTATCTTATATCTAAGGTTCTTTCTTGTAACGCGACTTTGTTTTCTCACTTTTTTTGTCTTTTCCACTTATTGCTGAATTATAAACCTCAACAAGTGAGCTGGCTAGAAACGTACGTTGTTAAAGGGCGAGGGATATTGAAGTAAGGGGTTAATTGGTTTCAAAATCCAACATGGACACCTTCATCCCTATGTAGATCTAAGAATCGTAGTAGGAAAAAGTTAACTGCTACCGGCGAGGAGGCCTTCTGCGCCCATTTTCATCTCACGTAAATATTGTAAAATACAACAGCTTCCACAAGATTTAATTTTTTTTTTTAGTTTGCATTTTGAAGCGAGGGCTTTCGAAATGGCGATTCTGCATGAGTTTCTTCTGTGGTGCTTATAAATAAGAATTTTTCGCCAGCCGAATCGCCCGCACCCGACCTTTCATTTAATACTTTTTCACAGATCATATTTAAACGCGAACTCTCTGACCCCCCCCCCCCCCCCCCCCCACGGCTAGACTGCACATTCCAAAACTCATATTCAACATTTACGGGGGGTACTCTCGTCTACAGAATGAGAAAATATTAGGAGTATGTTGGTTCATTATTTGCCACTTAGAAATTGTATCAGCACAATCTTTTTTCTTTAATATAATAAATGAATGAATTCATTACTACTGAGTCTGGCACATTTCCATTGTGCAAAGCTATCAAACTTGCTTTTGATGCCAGGTATTTAGCCATTCTAAGCCTTTTTCAAACACTACCTTTGAACTTTTATATGTTCTGTGTTCCGGCTTTTGATCTCGTAACTCTTTCTTGGAGCATTTCACTCCATGGCACAAATCTTATCTTCGATTCAGCATAATAATTTCTGCTTTTATTTGGCCCAGGTATTATAAACCAAGACTTCATTAAATAATTTTATGACACTTCAAAATATATCTTTTTTTGTATTGTGACCTCAACATGAGAAAAACGCAAACAGGAAAGGATGTTGCCATAAAATCAGCATGTATAATATTTATAATTTATTTTACTTCATTTCTCGGGTTCGAGGCTATATGTGCATTAGAAGTATTACGTTGCCGTCAAAGCTAACGCTTGGCAGTAGTAATCATTGAGGCTATCATATCGCGACTGCATCTACAGTTTAGTCTACGCTCTCCTACTGGCACTGTTCGCAGTTTTACTCAAACCAATTGTTTAGTTGAAAGTTCTTACCTATCGTTGCTGGCTTGATTAGAAATTCTTCAAACTCTCCAAGAAAACCTCTGGAAATGGGTGTAGATGCGTCTGCAATATATACCAATCGGTATTCTGTTCGGAGCCAATCAGAACGTTGAATAATGCCGTGTGCGGATAAGTCACAATTTTTAGTTTGCTTCATTCGCCAATATGCAACGGACGCTGACAGGAGAGCGGTAGCAACAGGTGGCTGGTTTAGTTTTCTTTGCAAACTTTATTTGAACCCTTGAAAAAATAGGTCATATCTCTTCAAAATAATGTATCACTTCACTCACACACGCGCTCGTGTCAATTGAAGTTTATTTAATTTTTATTTGAAAAAGAAAATGACACGTGCCTCAACCGTTTCTGTAAAAGGGGTGTTCCAATAAATGGAGCCCTGACTATGAGTGCGGTCTACATTCATTTTAAAATAATAGAGATATGACTGCCCCATCAGAAGTTGCTTACTTGCTCGTTAGATAAGCATGAAATTGTTACACAAATTGAGCATAAATGAATGACTACATCTTGGAAACGCGAAGATGAGTTTTTAAATTGGCATCTCAGTTACTGTCTTTTTCACGGGTTTTACTTCGACGACCATCTACACCAACCATTACTCTTACGACCGCATCACAATTTACCAC